GCGCGAACCCTCTGTTTTTTCGGGTAACCATGGTCGCCGAAGTGGGGTCTTTGTTTCCGCGGGTGCGGACCTCGATCTTGAAAAGTTGTCGACAAAAAGCGCACAGGCTCGATTTGCATTTGAAAAACTGTCACGTTCGGAGCTCTTTTGGAAGATGGGGTTGGCAACATGCGCACGAGACTGTAGCGAGAGATCGGTTTCAGATAAAAATCGTCAAAAAACTGTCGCTTTGGGAGCACTTTCGGAAGATGAGGCCGCCAAAATGTGCACGAGACTTTAGCGAGAGCTCGATTTCACATAAAAACCGTAAAAAAAAACTGACATGTTCGCAGCGGCCTTTTTTGTGTGGTCGAGTTCGCAGGGCAAAACGCGCACGAGACTGTAGCGAGAGCCCGATCTCACATAAAAATGTTAAAAACCGCGGGTTTCAGAGCACTTTTGGAAGATGAGGTCTGACAATTGAATGATTGATTGATGAATTGATTCAGTGATTGATTCATTCATTCATTCATTCGTCCATCCATCCATCCATTCATTCATTCATTCAATCAATCATTCAATCATTCAATCATTCAATCATTCAATCACTCACTCATTCATTCATTCAGTCAGTCAGTCACTCAGTCAGTCATTCGATTCATTCATTCATTCATTCATTCATTCAGTCAGTCAGTCAGTCAGTCAGTCAGTCAGTCATTCGATTTCATTCATTCATTCATTCATTCATTCACTCATTCATTCATTCATTCACTCATTCATTCATTCATTCATTCACTCATTCATTCAATCATTCATTCATTCATTCATTCATACATTCATTCATTCATTCATTCATGAATTCATTCATTCATTTATTTGTTCAACTCAATTCAATTTAGTTCAATTTATGTCATTTCATTTCATTCATTTTTTCATCTCATCTCACCTCATCTCATCTCATCTCACCTCATCTCATCTCATTTTTCCATTCCTTCCTTCCTTCACTCATTCATTCATTCATTCATTCATTCATTCATTCATTCATTCAATCATTCATTCATTCATTCGTTCATTCATTCATTCATTCATTCAACCAATCAATCAATCAATCAACCAGTCAATCAATCAACCAATCAATCAGTCAATGAACCAATCATTCATTCAATCAATCATGTCATTCATTGATTCACTGATTCAGTGAATGATTGACTCATTGACTCACTGAACCGGTGAACCGTTGATTCGGTAATTCACTGATTCATTGACCCATTGACTCGCTGAAATCGTTGAACCATTGGTTCATTGATTCGTTGATTCACTGATTCATTGATTCATCGATCTGATGATTGGTATATAGATTTTGATGCGCTGACTCATTATTGATGATTCATTGCCTTTTTGAACCTTCGAACGGTTGATTCACTGACTCAGTGATTCCGGCCAGATGGCTCCGCACCCGCCGCTTTAGCGAGCCTACTTTTCGACCCTCCGGAGCCACAAATCATTGGAAAAACATAGTGAATCGCGACTTCTCTACCTTTTCGCTGCATCTCCTTTCCTCTGGCTCTTTCTCTTCTCTCACTCTTCCCACTTCTGCGTTTCCATCTGTCCATACCTGTCGGAAGTTTGACTTCTAAATTTCCTTCGGTTAGTATTATTAGAATTGTTTTTGTTTTGTGTAATTATATGTTGATACCATATAACCTTTATGATTAATGTTTATTTCCGTGCCATCAGCAAAAAATCACAACATGCTTACCCTGGTCTTTGGTAGAGTCGCGGCTTCATGCTTTGTAATGACATGCCATGACTCAACTGCCTTTTTGGGACTTGTTGCAACTGGATGTGCATCCCACGAAGTACTTCCATAATGACCAAAAAAATAAGGGAAACCAATGGAAATCCCATATAGGCTATAAATTTGATATAAACCACGAATCTCCTATTGGATGCTCGTCCATTTGTTCAGTTCTTCGCTGAGCGGCAAAACGGTCGGAGTTGGCTGGTTTGTGGCAATTGGCAGTCGTCAGCAAGAATTTCTCTGGACACATGTCAAGATCCATCTCAAACTAGGGTTTTCTGTGCCAATTACTTGGTTAAACTAGTTAAAATTTAGATTGTAGCTACTATGGGGGAATCTTAGTTATCCCGAGCCAATTTTGTTGCAGATCTCGCTGGCCGATCTGACCCTAAATGCTGACTAGGTCCAACGGCAAAACGCGAGAATGTGCCATGCCCAAATTCCCAGCTTAGGAGAAAACATGTGTATATATATGATTATATATTGTACATACAGGTTTGGGTACATAATGGTATATTTATATATTTCAATATATGTATATAACATGATATAACATAATAGAACATGATATAACATTATATTTCATTATATAACATTGGAGTTTATGTATACATTTATATATGCACGCTTTACTTTCCCCCATCAAAATCGCCATGACACTGCCAGACCCCTTGACCCTTTGTCGTTAGGAAGCGGATGCCACGGCTGTGCGCACCGGGTGGTTGGAGCGCTTCATCACTGAAGCCGTGCACCCGAAGAACAGCGCCATCCGTGGTAGTTCCTATCGAGGCTGGAGATGGCTGGAGATATGATGAACATATCATGCGTAATGGGAGGTCATCTCACTTTAATGGGATAAATATGATGGGGATAGAATTGGATATGATGGGGATCCAGTGCGAATATAATGATACAATGGGAGGTAATATCATCTCAACAATATGTTTGATGGGATTTCTTGGGGTTTCGCCTCTGGTGTTGTCAAACATGGTTGGATAATCCACGCATATCCACGCACAAAATTAGGAGGTTTATCTATGTGAATGTATTCCAACTAAAGGGAGGATTTTCAAGCAAACAGTGTTTGATTACCAATGGGTAATGTTTAGTTCATGCACACTGAAACTATAGAGTAAAACATGCAATATCATGCAACGGTATTAACATCATGGCATCCCTCCTTCGGTCGGGTGTGCCGCAGTGCTGCTGTTGGCCACATTTGTTTGTGTGTAAGTGGTTTCAATATTTTTCGATAGAGTAAACTGTTTTTTTTGACGTTCCTTCTGTGAACTGTTACGCAGGTTTGGGGATCGTTTTTTTGAAGACGAGTTAGCACCACGTGTTTTACAGATCAAGAACCGTGCCTCAAAACTAACTAAGTGCCACAAAACACATGATTCTGTTCTATTGCATTTGTTTCCTGAAAGCCAGCTTCTGCTAGTTCAAGTCCCTCTTGCTTCCTTCAGCAAGGTATTATTGGTAGGGGCTGGAACAGCGAATCACATGGTGTTAATTTGGAAGCAGTTATGCCGCGTATGCCGTGTCTCAATCCCCCCATAAGACATCGTCGCCATATACCAGCATCATAAGACTTGCTCTCCAGTTTGTATTTCCAAATTACCCACACACCGCTCCTTCACCACATCTTCCTCCTTCTCCCTTGAGTTTCCGCAACTAGTTTTCGTTCCTCACCCCTGGGCCTCAAGTGGGCCCTTGTATCAAGTTCCATAGGTTTCATAGACATGGCCCGGCAGGAGAGTAAATTGCTGCACCAGAACTCAGACACTCAGATCTGAGAAGGTACCACCATGGCAATGGGGGCTAAAATACCATTGCCATGAACTTGCGATGTCCTTTTCCCACCGGTGGGTTAAAGAATATCAGGTCATCAGGGTCATCAGGGTCATTCCCTCATGAAATCACCAGGTGTGAGTAAACCCGACCCTCTCCATCTATGTTCTTCATTTGTCATGTGATTTTAACCAGCTCCCCCATTTTATTTTCACCACCATGACAGCTGGTTGCTGGTCACGAAGGCCTTTAACCCATCAATAATTGATGGGTTAAATCCCTGCTGTCCAGGAGACGGCTGGGACCATGCGGCCACAGATATGCGGCCATATGCCATCAATGGCACCTTGGACGCCATCCGGGGTGGGTGAATTATGGCAGGTACATACTGTAAGTACCAAATAATTTAATCCTGAAAGAATGGTACTGTAACATATGTAACTGTAGTAATGCAACTTTATGGGATGATAATATACATAATATACTACAATGACTGCCACAAGGTGGGGGAAATTCTGTGTTTTGACCTTGCCAGGAAGAAACCATATGCGTTTTTTGGGGTGTTGGCATCCCTGCAAAAGATCTGCCCTTTCGCAAGCCAAGCTGGAAATGAACTGACATGAACAACCTCACTTGTACCCATCCTGGATGATTTTCTGACGAACATTGGGATTACCCAATGCCATGTTACCAGACCCATGGCTTTCTCAAGAAGTTGAACTGATCCCCATTCCCATTCCCGGTTCCCATAAACTTCCCAGATCCTACCAGGTTTACTTATGGAAGTAGTAGGGGAAGGTCACAACCATGAAATTCCAAGAATTCCAATGATTATACTGCTTATACATGCCTTAAAACTGACACTGACAAGACGGGAATGCGAGAAGTTTTCTTTCAAACGTAATCCAATCAACACTAAAGGCTTTATGTTTTAGTGGTTGCTTGTCCAGAACTCATTTCAGATTCTATGGGTTTCATTTTGGTAGATCAGCTACTACTTGAGCCCATGGTCACCCATGGTTCTCCTTGATTGGAAACAGATATTTGAGATCCACTTTGGTGGAACATTTCTTCCACCAGGCTAGTCTTCTGGAACTGGATCTGCATCACCTGAACTTTTTCAAAGTCCAAAAATGTAGTTCTTCCAAGGTCCATTGACGTCCATTTCCAAACAGCATTGTTGTTGCACAGGCAACGCTATCTATAACTTGCGGCATCCGTGGCTGCGAAGTCTGCATGAGCAGCTTGCGAGAGAAGCATTTACAGATCCTTGGGCGGAAGTGGCTGCCCTTATTGATCTTTTCTTGGGAGGGCCGCTGCAGGGCCAACAACAAGATGTCATAATATTCATGTCGCTGTTAATGGTTTCACAATGTTTCACAATGTTTCACATCGCCCTTCGAAATTCTTTATGCAAGTTCCAAAACCACAACCTCAAACATTTGGTAATCATGGAGTTCGTAAAGTGAAAGAACATCTCTCTTAGGGAAGCTGCCTGCTGGCAGCTGCTGGATCTCGAGCCGAATTTGCGTAAAAAAAACACATGCATTTTTTGTTTCTGCATGGATTTGGATTGCAGGGGCACATTCCGCTAGGAATTGCGTTTGTCAGTTTCTTTCTAAGTCAGGAGGTTGGCTGGGAAATCCAGAACTAAATGGAGGTTTGAAGAAGATGATCATCTACAAATAGGGCCATGTGCCAGTGCCATGTTTGATTCCCAGAGGGTAGTTCTACTGGTATTGTGGCAAACCAATGGGGAACCATCCCGAATTTTACCACATCACAAGCCATCAAGAATTGGAGCTTGTTGATTGGGCAATCAACTAATCTGGTGAGAATCCGCCCGTTTGCAGAGTTGCCCATTAAAATTGTTGCCATTTTTCATGTTTGGTTGCTTCAAGATGTACCGTTTTCAGATACTTACAAAGATTGGTAATATTGCGTTCATCAGTTGTGGCTGGGAAAAGCTGCAGGGATATTGGACGGATTTGAAACGCAATTATCCCAAATTTATAGAGGAAGTGAATCATTTATTATGCATGTCAGCTTGGAGGTTATTCAGGATCTCTCGACTGGCTAAGCCGGGTTTTTTTAATTCTACTGTAGTACTATTTTGCGGCTTCCCCTTCCCGTTTAGTCCCCACTTAACTTCCCTTTGTTAATCGAACCTCACAATGGCATTGTGTTAAAGAGGGAACTTATCAGCATTTTTTTGATGGAAGGTGATCAATCCAAATCGTTGAACCACCAGCCCTGCGCCAAAACTGAGGTCTTGAAACTTGTGTTCCATGTCACTTTTTCCTGGGACTCAGGAACTTCCAGGATTGTTCTAGGGATAATATCAGCCAGATGTGGTGTTTTGTTCCCAAATGTCCATTCAACCCATCAATAGTTCCGGGAACCTATAGAAATGAAACACAGCACTGGAAAATCAGAAGTTTTAAGATGTTCCAGCATGATCTACCTCTAGCAACCCCAAAACAATTTCAAAAACTGAACTCCAATTTAAAACAAGCGGAAAAGTGTAAAATCAGATTGTGTGTTCGTATTTTTCTATGTGTGTGTGTGTTTTTTTCTTTCGGGGGTGGAGGGTGACGTTACCCCACGTTGAAAATGATGATTTTACCGAGGAAGAGTTGGCGCAGATCCCTTTCGATTTGCGCATGGCTAACCTGACTCTTGAAGCACAAAGAGGCGCCGTATTGCGCCAGGTGTAGATTGCTGGGCTGCTGGACGGGTTGCTAGTCGTGGTTTACAACTAAATTAACGACAGTCAAAAAAGGCAGAGCTATCTATAGAGTCTACAGTTGATGGGGCTTATAAGCCAGCAAACATAACTGGGAGGCACCATCTTGTATTTTTATGTATTTTTTGAGTTGTTTCCAATTCTGTCCACCTGTATTGTGGATGATGTCAGCTCCTCACAGCCCTGCAAGGCTCACAAGAGTTGTTGGGAAAGGCTTTTGCCGTCCCGGTGTCGGAGGAAGTGTATCAAGACGATTCCAAGCTCATCGGACATTTGGCCAAAAGTTAGGAAGATTTTATATGGTTAGAACATGTTGAAATCTGTTGAAACCAACAAAACATCAGGGTGATCATCAGGATATATCACCCACATGTTTCATTATTTTTTGATATCTCTCTCTCTATATATATATTATAAACCGATCTACAGTAGGTTTTGCAATGTTTGCTTTGCAATGTTTTGCTTTGCATGAATGTAAATTTATATATGTATTATATATATATATAACATATACAGTATATATATATGTGCTCATTATGTTTATATTTATAATATATATATATAATATTTAATTTATTATGTGTATATTTACATAATATGTATTTATATATATATTTATATATGATATATTCATATCTAATTGTTTGATTGTTTTATTCATAGTACCAGTATATATAATATTATATAACTTAACCAGCATTTAATGGTGGATTTTTCTGCGTCTAAAAAGAATTTGGGCAAAACACTCATGGAGGTATCCAGGGATCGGCTTGGTTGATGGAGGTTTTGGGCACTGGACCGCCTTCCCAGGAAGTTTTGGCAGCACCCTGCTGAATCACAGTGGCTCGGTCGGGCTGAAGTTGATGAAACAAATGGTATATACTTAATCATCAAAATCGAAAAACAAAACAAACACACAACACTAGAATACAATAGAAGCTACAACTATAAGTTTTCAATGGGTAGATATGGAGATATGGGTGGGAGGGTTGAAATATTCGGCTGAAGCCATGGGTTTACCCAGTTCCTTCGGTTTTAGGAAGGTTTTTATTTTCCTTATTGTTTTCGCAAACTGTGACTGTTTCCAATAAATGAAGCCCAGACTTATTCTGAGCTTATTATGATTGCGTTCCGGAACATTTACATCGAAATTATATCATATTATGTCCAGTTTGCTCCATAGTTATAGGTCAAAACCATGGTTTGATATTCCAGAAACCGTTGATCTCAGATTTGGATGAAGGAAAAAACATCAGAACCACCCCCTGCCACCCCTCCATATTTGAGGAAAAAACATGAACAAAAACATGACAAAACACCTGCAGCCGTTCCCTGAAACACAAAAAACGATCCGGCCGAGGCTTTGAGCCCGGCGTCTTCATACGCCAAGGCTCCTCGAGAAACAGTTTTTTCAATTTGGAGGTGCCGGGTGCCGTGCAGCGATGCCATCGGTATGCCATGGTCTGAATTGAAAGTTGTACTACCACTAGGCTTAAGTCGTATCAATCGACCTGAAGTCGTATCACACCTGCGTGCGCGCAGTGTTTCGTATAGATTTTGATAGTTCTTTATTTGATGGGTTATTGATTCGAACACTTTTTCATCGCTGTGCGCAATGTTTTGTTGACATGATTCTATTTGACCCTACTAGCCCTAGCGTTAAGTCGTATCAGCTCGTAGAAGTTGTATCGGGAGGCCGTGCGCCTGGAAAAAGTTCAAGTTTGGCATCACCACAACTTTTAGTAATTGGACGATTTCATTGTTTTGGGGCCGTGCGCCTAGAAAAAGTTCAATTTTTGTATTGCGTTGATTTATAAAACTTATATTATATTTCATTATTCTTTCAACGGGGCAAACGCTGGTTGCTGCTTTCTGCTTGCTTTCTGCTTGCTTGCTGCTTGCTTGCTGCTCCTTGCTGCTGCCTCCTGCTGCTGCTGCTGTTGCTGCTGCTGTTGCTGCTGCTGTTGCTGCTGCTGTTGCTGCTGCTGTTGCTGCTGCCTCCTGCTGCTGTTGCTGCTGCCTCCTGCTGCTGCTGCGGCTGCGGCTTCCTTCCTTCTCCTGCTGCTGCCTCCTGCTGCTGCCTCCTGCTGCTGCCTCCTGCTGCTGCCTCCTGCTGCTGCTGCTGCTTCCGCCTGCTGCTGCTGCTGCTTCCTCCTGCTGCTGCTGCTGCTGCCTCCTGCTGCTGCTGCTGCCTCCTGCTGCTGCTGCTGCTTCCTCCTCCTGCTGCTGCTTCCTCCTCCCTCCTCCTCCTGCTGCTGCTGCTGCCGCTGGTGCAAACATTTCGCCGAAAAAGAAAATTACAGTCTCGGTCGCCTTGTTTGGCGCTGGCGGGAGATACGGGCGGGAGACGCCAGCAGAGAGAGGGAATGTTTACAGAAGGCAGAACTTATGAAACATTCAAGCGGAAGCGGATGTTGACAGCGGTGTGCCACTGGGTTTTCAGATTTTAACGTTGTTGATATGATGATGTTGCCCATAGCTATTACATGGAAATCTATGTTTGTTAGGAAACAAAGTTAAAGATCTGGGAGGCCGTGTGCCATGGTGATTCCTAAATATATCCTTTGAAAACATAGTTTAAACATATGTGAATACCTCAGTGTGCGCAATGTTTTCTTCATTTTTGGAGATATAACAACATTCCTTGAAAGCCGGTGTGCCATTGGGATTTTGATATTTTGATGTGACTTTTGCCCAGTTGATGTGACTTTCTTCCAACTCGCTGTTACATGGGGTTGATGTGACTTCTGCCCAACTGATGTGACTTAAACCCTTCGCTAGTAGCGTGCATACAAGTGTATATTATGTATACATACAAGTGTTATATAAATATGTAGTGCCATTGGGGATTTCAGTCATTTGAGAAAAACATAGTTTAATTTTTTTTTTTGGTTGGTTTAGGCTTTATTTATGGTTCATTTGCACACTTCCAGTAGGAAAAGACAGGAACAGTGCAGAGCACTGCGAAATCGAGCTGTATAAAGCCATAGATGTTGCGTCGATATTCTGGCCAGTGACATTTTCTGCCCTTGCCAAGGGCCATTTGCCAACTTACTCCGGGTACTCTCCAGTGTCAGGATGTAGGGCAGCAGCCTCCTCCCATTCCAGGAATATCCCAACACCATCCAGCAAAAACCATAGGATGTTTTATAGAACCGTTGCGAACACCACTTCTGACAGTGGGCTCAATGGGTGGTTCTAGATGCCGCGTTTCGATTCCCAATTGGTTGGGAACATCATCCTCAACTGCCTAATTGCTGCAGTTGAAATTGGTTGAAACCACAACCGGCAAAATATTGACTATAGAACTTTAATTACTCCGATCATGTTATACCACTGTTTTTCCTGCTCAAACCCGGGTTTTGTTTGGTCGTATTCTCCTTTTGACAGCTCTGCTATTGGATATTCTTTCTTGCTTAACCTCTATTATTTATTCATTTATTTCATCTCATTTGTTTGTTTATCCAACCCCATTTCTTACTGCATATCTCCTGCGTTTTTCTTCTGTATTTGGGTTTCTTTGCCAGATTTGATCATCACATATCATCACTTTCCCGTTGAAACATAACGTGATTACTCTATATATATATATATACCATCACTATACATACCTGCAAAATCTACCTGTGCCAAATTTATGCCCCTTTGCTAAGGGTACAAAATTTCAGCCCCTTAAAATAAAAAACTCACCTGGCAGTTTCTTGAGCAACAAGAGTGTCCTTGAAAGATCATCCCTTAATTTAATCTTATCCAAGTAGTTTTGTTCCAAGTTGTGATTCCGATGCTGCAAATGTTGGTGCCTGCTACTAGCACCTAATCAGCGACTGAAGAGCATGCATGACATGCCAGTGTGGGATGAGCATGTTGCCAGAATAGGATGAAAGAGGGCAAAGCAGGGTAAGACAAGAAAATCCATGAAACCAAAGAGAGGTGAATGGGGAAGCCATGGTCCCAGAGTCAAAGAATTCAGAACAGGATCATTCAATTTGATTGTGCGCGTGGTGTGCGCCCATGGTTTGTGACCCGTATCATACCTGAAAAACCTCGAATTTCGAAATTGAAAGTGGGTGGTTGCCCAATTACGCATAATTATGCATTTTACCCGGCAAATTACGCCTTTTACCCGGCAAATTACGCCGCTTAAAAGCGTTGGATTTTGGCAAAATGGGTAGTTTGTTATAAGATAGCTCATGATGCCAGTAGTAACAGGAGATGATCCTGGGATTTGTGGTCAGCAATTGATCATGCCATAAACAAAATTGTCATGCGTCTTATTATTTGATGGTAAGCATGTCATGCCATGATAAACGTGCCGTGCCATGAACATCCTGTCGCGCGAAGAGCTTCATGCAGTAGCAGCCCATGAGCACAGCTTCACCCGGCAACGACGGTCCTGTGATTGCTTAATTGCTCGGCCTTGTCCCTGAAACATCTTCGAACTTTAGCAGGAAACTAACGTCAAACCCACTAAAAGACATCTACATACATCTACAATGATAGAACATGATAGAACCATCCAAAAGCCAAAAAACACCCCTTAGATAAAAAGGCAGATTTTGGCTAAGATGCTAGAAAACGAGACCTTCAGGAACATCTAGGTACGTATGTATGTATATATATATATATACACGTTGTATATTGTACGTGTATATGTATAAATATGTGTATATATATATATATAGTATGTATATTTTCTTAATTATCACCATATCATAGATTATCATAGTATGTTATCCCATTATTAACGAATATAAACCTCTACTAACCATTACTAATCACTAAGCACAATTCGCCAGTGATGTCACTTCTGCCAGGCCGAGATCAGCCTTGGCGTGGCAGCCTTCGAAGCTGATTTGTGCCCGTTTATGGATGGGTCAGCCATTGGAGGTGGACAACTATGACTGTTGGATATAATGTATATATATATATATATATTTATATATAATGTATATATATAAATATTTACAGATGTGGAACATATGTGAAAAATATGATTTTATATGAATTTCTGTTTTGGAATATTATATACATATGTTGTGTTTTCACATCTCAAAGATCTTTGGATTTGGGATGGTCCCGAATGACGGTCGGGATGCAGAGTGACTATAGCATAAATTCGCCAGCAAACTAACAGTAAAATAATGTATTTCATATTGATAGTATTCAAAATAACTTATATCTGAAGAAGAACTAAGAGATAATGAAGCAGAAAATATTGGCGACAATCGTCTGACCAGCATTGACAAATGGATACATACACTGGTCTGCGAAAGGCAAAATTGAGAGCCCAAGTCCCATGGAAAGCTTCCTGAAATATGCATGTGTACAGTATTCTATATAATCATATGGGCACACAATAGATGTGCTTGGTCTTTGATGCTCCTTCAGCCGCTGACCTTTGATGTTTTTCCTTGATTCCCCCGTTGTTTGCTCTGCTTCTCGCATCCCTCATGTCCTACAGCCCCCGGGAAAAAAGTGATAAACATCTGGGTTTATGATCGATGATTTCATGAAAATTACCGCGGAATTGTGGTCCTTGAGGACTTTACGTCAAAACATATATAGGTTTCTTTCGGAATCACCTGCGGTCAGGTACCACAAGTTCAACGAGACGCTGACATCCAGGCATCCCTTCAGGTGCGCAAAAAGAGTGAGGGCTCGCAAGTTGTCTGGGTGAAAACCATGGGGAAAACTAAGTATGCAAAAAACATGCAATTTTCATTAATCCAAACCATGGATATATAGATGCACACAAACACATACACACTAGAGTCACTAGATTCACTAGATCCAAAAACTTCTTTGTAATTCAATTCAGGGGCATGCCCTATTTTACTGTGACGAACAGATGACAAGCCTTGCGGATGAGTTCTGCACCAGTGCATGCTGGGAAGCACGTTGTGCCCATATGGTGCAGAACTTGAGTTGAGCGGTGACATTGGCTAAAGGCTTAGTTGATCTTAGTTGCCCAGAATTATATACTATGATTCCTATAGACTTAAAGGGATCTATAGATTTAAGCAGCTATAAACATATATATAGTTCATTATACCAGTAGTACCCGCACGAGGCGGGGCGGAAGTTGCCTTAAAGATATACATAAGACCTTTCTCATCTATAGAACTTGCCTGCGCCGTGCGCCAGCCAAGCCCGTGCGTGCGTGCACTCTGCGAAACTGGTGTCTTGTTTCACATGTCACATTTGAAGCTCCACTTCGCACTTCGCACTTCTCACTGCAGTCTTCACACTCCGCACTACACACTTCACACTCCACACTTCACACTGCACTCTTAAGACTCCACACTTCACACTCCACACGTCACACTCCACACTTCACACGTCACACTGCACTCTTCGCACTCCAAACTTCACACTTCACAGTCCACACTTCACACTTCACAGTCCACACTTCACACTTCTCACTTCTCACTGCTTTCTTCACACTCCAAAAACTTCACACTTCACACTGCACTCTTCACGCCCCACACTTCACACTGCACTCTTCACACTCCACACTTCATCTCATCTGAGCCCTTCTCACCTTATCCCAGCTCATCTCTTCTCATCTCATCTCTTCTCATACAGTATGTCATCTAAGCTTTCATGAATCACTTCCCAGTACTACTACTAATCACTGTCGCAGCCTTGCAGCACCCACTCCAATACGATTTACGATCTTCAGCTGCAAAAGACAATAGTATTACGTATGCAGCCGCTGCGCCAAGCAACCTTGACGCAGCCATTACAATGCGATCTGCAGAGACTGAGTTGCAAAACACAAAAGAACTACGCGCAACGGTGTCGAAAATTACAGCTTCAAAACCGGATCTCGACGCCGAAGCAGAAAAAAGGCGATTTTGAAGCATTTATAAAAGGATTTTTAAAAGGAAAATTACTAGCGCCAAAGTTGAGAAAATCTGCTGACAAACCACTTATCGCAGCCTGGATGCAGCCATTCCAATACGATTTACGCTGTTCAGCTGCAAAAGACAATAGTATTACGCATGCAGCCGCGGCACCGAGCAACCTTGACGCAGCCATTGCATTGCGATCTGCAGAGACTGAGTTGCAAAACACAAAAGAACTACGCGCAACGGTGTCGAAAATTGCAGCTTCAAAACCGGATCTCGACGCCAAAGCAGAAAAAAGACGATTTTGAAGCATTTTTTCAAACGATTTTAAAAGGAAAATTACTAGCGCCATAGTTGAGAAAATCTGCTGACAAATCACTATCATCGCAGCCTGGATGCCGCCATTCCAATACGAATTACGCTGTTCAGCGCAAAAGACAATCGTATTACGCATGCAGCGGCACGAAGCAACCTTGACGCAGCCATTGCATTGCGATCTGCAGAGACTGAGTTGCAAAACACAATAGAGCTACGCGCAACGGTGTCGAAAATTGCAGCTTCAAAACCGGATCTCGACGCCAAAGCAGAAAAAAGACGATTTTGGCGCATTTTTTCAAATGATTTTTAGAAGGAAAATTACTAGCGCCAAAGTTGAGAAAATCTGCTGACAAATCACTATTGCAGCGTGGATGCAGCCATTCCAATACGATTTACGATGCTCAGCTGCAAAAGGCAACAGTATTACGCATGCAGCCGCAGCACCAACCAACCTTGACGCAGCCACTACAATGCGTTTCGCAGCATCCCGTAGCAAACCTGCACCTATCTACGGACGTGGCAACACCAAATGACAACAATCATGCAGCCATTCCAATGCGATCTGCCACCACAGCTTCAAGAAGCGCATAGAACTACGCACACAGACACAACCACTCGTTGCAAAACACATAGGAGGAACAATTCGCGCACAAAACGACCGCAGCCGCACCCGTCGCACAGACGAGGTACCTTTCATCGTCGCCTGCAGCCACTTTACACGGAAAAACACAAGGTTTCGTGCTCCGGCTTCCTCCCCAAAACAGAGAGAGCCCTTGCAACATCATGCAGCCATTCCAATGCGATCTGCAAGCACAGATTCCAAAACACCCTATAACTACGCACACACAAGCACACCCAAAGCAGCTTGAAGCCATCGTTACACTGCGGCAAAAAAAAAGGCAAACCGACCGCAGCCGCACCCGCCGCACAGACGAGGTACCTTTCCTCGCCGGCTGCAGCCACTTTACACGGAAAAACACAAGGTTTCGTGCTCCGGCTTCCTCCCCAAAACAGAGCCCTTGCAACATCATGCAGCCATTCCAATGCGATCTGCAAGCACAGATTCCAAAACACCCTATAACTACGCACACACACAAGCACACCCAAAGCACCTTGAAGCCACCGTTACAATGCGGCAAAAAAAAAAGGCAAACCGACCGCAGCCGCACCCGCCGCACAGACGAGGTACCTTTCCTCGCCGGCTGCAGCCACTTTACACGGAAAAACACAAGGTTTCGTGCTCCGGCTTCCTCCCCAAAACAGAGCCCTTGCAACATCATGCAGCCATTCCAATGCGATCTGCAAGCACAGATT